CTGTTGAATCCTTGAACATTACACGAACAAAAATAACAATCGTGACTGCGATTGCTACGCTCTCGCAATACCATAGGAACATCAAGGCTTAAACATTTCTTCCTACCTTTTTGCCATTTTCTTAATGCATCAACGAAAACGAAACAAAAAGTATGAACAGCCCAGGACTTGTCTTGGTAGTCAATTTTTACACCAAAATAAGCAAGGTATACATTTTTCACAATAGGAGTTATAGTTTGCCTTTTCTTTACTACGACATAACTACCACAGATATAACCAAAGTTGTTTATATTATTATTATTATATTTATATATTTATACGTTCTGAAACACTAGAAATCCGCAACAATGAAGGCAACAGCCGCGAACACGGTAGCACGACTACCAATACAACCAAACTGCGCATAAGTAGGTAACAACGCTGCATTGATGCCAATTCTGTTGCTTTGCAGAGATATCTAATATCCAGTGCTGTCAAATCACATAGGTATGTATATTAATAAAATAACATTTTTTTACTCCCATCTGCAAAAATACCTAATTACACACCGATCTAGCCTGCGGGAAGCGTCACTTTACTACGTCAGTTTGGTTTTGCACGGATCTGGACATTTCCGGGATTTTACCGCACGGATTTGGGAGCAATCGAATGTTTCCGGAGATTTTAGCGCACGGTTTGAATTTTGACGTTTGTCATATATTCGTGTTGCTTTGCGAAAATGTACCCAAGACTAACGGTCGTAGAAAAATGATAGTGTGCAACAAGTTTGGTAAACTTTTTAAGCCTCTCGTGAGTCAGAGCAAAAATATTGCGTTTTTGGGAGAAATGGCCCCCAAAAACATGCAAATAAGCAAACAGCTGTGAAACATCAAAATCACTGAAGACCTGTGTTATTAATAACGTATCAGTTTATCGCCTCAATAATGCAGCAAATTAATAGAGATGAATTGAAATTATTTAAAGTTAGGTACTATTTGTGCATTAGTTTTATTTTTTATTAGCATTATGAAGCAATGACTACTGAGTCGGGGCAATCCCGATTTTCCAGCGTCGCAACAGCCGCACAGCACGCTAGAGCTTGCTTTGATTCAGTTTTGTAGTACCCCTCTAACCAAGGTGCGAGTAAAGTACTCCATAAAGCAAAAATTCCGTTACTAAATAGCTAACTTGCAATCTGTTCCTGCACAAGGCAGAAGTAAAACAACACATTAATTTTTCACAAAATCACAAATTTTTTGCTTCTCGTTATATATGACAAATACAAAATCAACTAGGAGAACATATGCTAAGTTTACGAAATTCTTTCACCTAAGAAATAGTTTAAATTTAAAAATTTTTCTCACAAGCTTAAAATTAAAGTATTAGTCACAATTTATTCATATGCAACCTTCGTGGCATTGTAACTTTACGATCATCTCGCATAAACTCACACTATCACAGTCTATAATAGTAGCAACAAGTGCGACTCGAGTCACTCACGAGTTTATTTGACACGAGCGGAGCGCAGCGGAGCGAGTTTTTAATAAACGGGTGAGTTAAAAAGTTTACCGAACGTGTTGCATACTATACTTATTCTAGGACCGTTAGTTTTTGGATACATTTTCGCAAAACAACACGAATACGTTCACTGACATGACCGTCAGAATTGACAAACGTCAAAATTCAAAGAGTGGGAAATATGTCCGAAGACATCCGATTGCTCCCAAATCCGTACCGTAAAATCTCGGAAATATCCGAAGGGGCTCGTATTCATGGGAAATAAAACTGACGTGGTAAAGTGATGCTTCCCGCGCGCTAGATCGGTGGGTAATTAGGAATTTTAACAGTTTCAACAAAATTTACAGATTCCTCCCACCATTTGGACATCAGAATGTACTTAGATGAACACGTACGTGAGGCTAAATCCTCTGGATTGTTTATTCCCATTATTGCAATTTCTTGGAAGGAAGTCAGCCTTCTAATTTCATGAAATCTGTTTGGCGCAAAAAATCCAAGAATATACAACAACTCTCTTTGTTCCTTAAGCAGTTCTTGAATTAGCTGTCAACAAGTATACCTATAGTTTCTTCTACTGAACTGATCTAAAATAACTGTAGCTGCATAAGCATTGTGAAACTTATCTACAAAAATATATATATAGTTACGTCACTCGACTCAGTACGTCCGATTTTGTAATTTCTAAACTAATCAAATTCGATTATTATTTAGCCCACTCTTTAAAAGCAATAGCTATGTCCTGATCTACTTTGGATCCCAAGTGATATTCGAATATGTATAACCTATAGGGTCGAACACTTTGTGGGTTAAACTTAACAGTTTTGTCTACATCATGACTAAATCCTGTATTTCATCTTGAAATAAGTCTGCATTCAATGTAATAACATCCATTTTTGGATAGGCTTTCTTCCATCCTGTGAGCTCCATTTGGGCTTCTGTCATTGCCTGTACTGGCTTTCTGAGAAAAGTGTTCAAGGTAAATTTATTTGGCACACTAGTGACACAGTTATCGATATAAGAATGGAGGCAAGTTTCTCTGAAGATTCTCTAGAATATGCAGAGCCTGGTAATAAGCTGTTTTCTAATCATTGTTATAGGTGGCGATCTAATGTCGCAGCTGTTGTGCTGGCAAATAATCTGAGGGTTTCAAAAGTTGCCGACCTTCCGGATTTACGTTAATCTGTCAAAACGCCAGTATAAACCTTGTCAGAATTTCTTGTATGTTTCCATCAAATTTACACTTTTTTTTCGAATTTAAGCTTTTTTATCTTGTACCAAGCACAAGCCTCGCTGCTGTAGTGCATCCATATATAATTGTTTTGGTTAATATTGACTCGACGGTCATTGCATTCCTTTAAATTGTGAGGAATTTATCCCTCGTGCTATTCATCCTATATATCTTCCATAGACCACTAGTTCACAGCTTAACAACACTCTTCTCCATGTAAATATTTTATTTATAATAATCTGCATCAAGGAACATCTCTAGTGGACCTTGCCACTCAAAAATGTTGAACCTATATAAACTGGTTTAACATTAATTAAAACTAATTTTTTGATCCAACACTTCCAAGATATTAATGAATGCGTTTTACCTTTTCCCATGCCACCGAATAGACAGTTTATAAATTTTCCAGTTCTTTTGGGGTTTACTTTACTACGGATTTCAGATATATTTTTTTTTACTGCTTATACGCTCAAGTTTTAGATAGCTGTTTTTTTTACTTCTTCTGAACGATTTCCATTTTACCCATCCTCAAAAGACTCGACTTCGTTTGTCATTTCATTTTGATCCAGCGGTAAGCCCGAATCCCTCACTGGCTAAGGCGATTCGCTCTTCATTTTCCACTTCAGATCTTACAAAACTGTTTCCGGTTCCGACTTCCCCACTTGAATTATAAGAGAATATTTGCCAAACAACTTATCCGACGTAACGCCCAACTTATCAAGAGTTCTTAATTGCCTTGGTCATACACCTTGGCCTATTCGAACCTCGGAGGGGACTTTTCAACCCAACTTACGCAACTCTCAAATAAAGTTCCTATTTATAAGTTATCGTTCTTAAATCTCAATTCCATGCATTCTATAATTTTTTCATTATTTCAACAATTCGACGCGCTTGACTTCCTGGTACTGTAAGGCATGCACAAGGTATTCTATTCTATCACAATTGTGAACAAAATTCTAGACAATGTTTGATTATGCCACCATACTTTAACTTCTATGGGCGGCAGCATAAATTTACACTAACCTTTCCTCGGGTCTACTGTACCTGACTAATCCCAAAAAATGTATACTGGTTTGAACAGTATTTTTTCTACTTGCAGTCATCAACCTGTAAACGTTTGGATGTGGACTTCTAACTGGTCGTTCAGTCGTCCTCTTCTGTCTTGCCTTCCTGCTTTCTTCCAACAGCAACCTGTAAATTGCGCTATCACAACCAGCAAAATTGTCCCAGTTAGGCTTCACGCACTCCCGGTAGAATTGGAGTTCCATGATGTTCAACCAGCAGCTCGACCAACTCGGCTGCCGTCTTCGTAAAACACGTATGGTCTTCTTTCCTCCGATATTCGACATTTCATCAGTTAAATTTTCAAACTTATTATATCTTCACTGCACTATATCGTATTAATTGATAAGAAGCAAGTCCTGTCACGATCACCAAAAAAAGTAATTTTTTATATAAATGCTATTTTCTCCTTCTATTTGATAAATTCAAAATCAATAACTGTTAACTCAGGAAATTATATGCTAGACTAGAGTTAATTGAAGTTTGAAGCATGAAGCTTTTCAAACTATTGGCTAAAATAACCTCGATTATCTTTTCCTTCCCAAGAATTTTGCTCTAATTGTTTCTGATTATATATATACTGAATCCTCGCTTTATGATAAACCAACTAGCGTACCTATGAAGATAGTTTCAGAGGCACCTTTTGAAAAAATTAGTTCGAATAAATATAATTGCAAAAATATGGAATTTACATCCTTTCAACCTTTTTTTCCATATGAACTCACATTGTTGCCCATTACTAACTAAATAACTAACCAAAACTATATCAGGAGATTTTTCAATACTTATCAGCTCTAAATGTTTTATATTACACAAAAGTTAATCTTTTTTGTGCTAATATCTCCCTTTCTTGAAGTTTAATGCAAATGTGATATGTTATATTACTTAAAGGAGATGGACGTCATTGCCAATGCAAAGTTATTCCTAAAACTTATATGTAATAATAATATAAAACATAAATATGAGGCAGTCGGCAAAAGAAATGATGAAAGCAGCACAACATCGTTTGTAGATCAGGAGCTTCAACTCAGTTCAACAGTGCTATTAAATAATAGGAAGGAAGACGATGGATCCTAGGTTTTACACTAATAAAAATGTAAGGAGTACCTGCAACGTAGGGCAGAATTTGATGGCGTAAGAAGTGAATGTCCAAATAGACAGTATTTTAATTAAAACAGTTGTTGACAAACAAAAAGCATTAAGATATACCTACCCTCTATAAGCCTGGATATCCTCTCTTCACATTCACCGTACATACTTGCTCTGTACAATGCGCTCCTTCTGTGGAAGCCTTCTCCAAATCCCGCCTCTGATAGTTCCAGCTCGCTTGGAGGTTTGCTGCTTGGTCTTCGCCTCTTCCGGATCGTAGTGGACTTTGGCGCATTTTTCCGACAAGCTATCACGGTAGAGACAGCAATGATGACTACAATGAGAAGGACTGCCGTAACTGATAATCCAGCAATGATGAGTGTGAGACTTAAGCTCGTAGGAGATTTAGATTCGGGAAGTGGAGAATTTGGAATGTTTTTGTCGTTCAAATCTGTTTCATTATCTGGAACAACAACACACATAATATTAAGTAATGTTTATTAATGTTAAACCCCCATCGCCCAAATTAAATATTCTCAGAGAGCTAATTCAAATTTGGAAGGTTCAAAATGCGTTAAGTTAGCGATTAGTAGCTAACCACATGAAGGGAATGAATTCATTTTCAGTTTTCAGTAAGCTGCCCTAATCAACTAACATGTTTTTAAGATATCCCAAATAAAACAATTGCCACCATTCGGCGTGCAAGAATCTCTAGTCCAGAAAGTGAAAAAATACAGAATAGGTCACTTTTCGCTACCGTCCTTTTGTCATTTTGTCAAAATTGTCATTAAAGTAATATTAAAGAACCTCATTTTCCAAACGGCTGTGAACTCGGCTCAGAAGTTATTAAAAGTTACCACTTTTCAAATTTTCACAAACTAAAAGTCATGGAAGATATGTCCACCCAATTTTCGGAAAATTTTTCAGATGCCTGGTTGTTTTCAATTAAATTTAACTCGGATATTAACCCGGAGTTTAAATGGTTCATTTATCATTAGCCAGAAACTTTCATGAAAACGCTATACACTAAGTAATATCTGGTCGAATTTTAACGTAATACACCACAGATTAGAGAGCGACGTAGTTAATGTTTCATTTAATTCGGCTTTTGGGTCCTAATTGAGCTCATTCGCGGTGCAGCATATTCGTGTTTTATACGTTCAACGCCATTAAGTTGTGTCAAACAAGTGTTATGGAAATGGGCGAACAGATATTATTCGCATTCAACTTGACGCCTTTTCCAGTCACTTTGTGTCTAATTTAATAGCGACAAATAACCGAGTAATGACTCACCATCTTCCTGAAGGGAATCAGATCCTTGTTTGGAGATTGGAACACTGGGAAGAACAACCGGGGGCACACTACGACCTCTGGCGTTTTCGGCATAAACTATCATCTGGTATTGTTTGTTTGCTTTCAAATTTGGCAGACGAAACAAGGGGCGTTCGCCGAGAACCCTGAATGCCGGAGATGCATTTTCTCCTAGAATTTCGCCATTTTCAAATGTATTTTTAAATCCGGGGGACGTCTGACCTTGATCACTAAGAGTGGTAATTATACCGCTTGGCGCAGAGACAGATAAGTCGGTAACTTCTAATACGAAACTTTGATGAAGACCGCCATCTTTACCGGCGATGCAGGAAACTTCAAGGAAGCCACCACCAGTCATATTTCTTATGATGCAACTTCGTGGCGGTTCTGGTGGTTCTGTAACAATTTTCAATTTCTCAATAGTGGTCGTGGTATTAATTTTTACATTTTGCCCTCTGGTCAAAAACTAATACTAATAATATATGCAGTAACGGGCTATTTGTAACAGAAACTCACACGTAAATAACTACAGGATCGACGAGAATAATGCTAAAGGAAGCAATAAAATATGTGACTGATTGGTTATTGAAAGTTATTGGTAAAGTATTCTAAAAAAACATAGGGAACATATTGATCACAAACCCAGACCGTAAATGATAACAACCATTTATTATTAGGATAAGTAAAGTAAACATTTTTTGTGGTGTGTGGTTTGTAGAAAATGGTGAACTTGAGATAAAATCCATTGTTATCGTATTTAAAATGTAATGTGAAAGCAGAAGTTTTATAAAAGGCGAAGCATTAGTTAAAGCGAAACTTGCAATTTAAATAGGGTCTACTGCAAGAACTGATAACAAATCTTGCATCACCCATTATTACAAGTTTTTTAATATTTGTTGAATGCTATTTATCAACAAAGCAATTTGTTTTGTGTTTGGATTTGAAATTGTTAACCTTTCCTTTAATGTTCAACACTCGGATGAATCCATAAAGGCACTGAATCGCGAACTACACCAATTGAACTACTTTTTTAAACAATGTCAACATAAAAGATACAACGCAAATATAATCCCCAAATGTCACCAGTCCCAATTTTACTAGCAAACTAAGGAATATTTTTTTCCGCAAGAAGTTCAGTGTATTGTAAAATCGCCAATAGCTCCCACTACGATTCTAGAAAAAAAATGTCTTTGAAAATCACTCCACACATAATACATAAGTATAAGTAAAAATTATATATATTAAAATGGTTAATTGATCTTTATTATATATAAATTTTCTTTTCCTTTTTCTTGTCTTACTACGTGATACTCCAAAATTTTATATAATAACTATATAACCATACACCATATTTAAAATATTTTTAAACCGAGAAAAAAATTGAAATTTATTTACGTAGTGATTTTGCAAATCATATTTTTCTCGAAAAACCCGAGATTCAGAGAACGTAGGCGGTTCCATCCGAAAATTAAAGTTGTCAATGCGTTGGGGTAGATATATGGCAATACTAGATTTGTGAAAATATTTGTAGAATATAGAATATCGACGAATGTCAAATTTGGAAAAGTTTATTTTAATAGTTTTTAATTAATATCGTCGTATATCAAATTCTCATTTGTTATTTTTCCAGACTTTTCAATACGCATCGCAACCGATATGATTGTTTTCAAATATTGTCAAACCTTCTATATAAATAAAAATCAATTCTTGTTCTTAAGTCTCGTTAAAATTCGCGAATGGCAGAACGGTTTATCTTATCTCGGTCTTGAAATGTTCGTGAAGGTCTAGCGAAAGTTTAAAAGGTGAGAAAAATTAAAATAATTGCCGTTAAAACCCTAAAAACAGCCCTAATTCGGAGAGTCAATTTTCAATTTATTACCGCTACACGAAGTTCAAATTCAATCATATCAATCATGCGTGAGGATTGGAAGATCTAATATCGCTTTCCGAAACTCAACAATAGTGATAATATCGCGAATGCGGCGAAATTGTATAGTCACAATCATTAGTAGTAAAAGCTTTAAATTGATTAACAAACTGTATCATACCAGTGTGTGTCTCAATATCAAAGTTATACCTTATAAATAGAAAGTATTACGGGAAAACTTTGTTTTGTAAATAAGCAACATGATGTGTCGAAAATAGTAATGAAACTTCAAGCTTCATTCAAAAAATGCTTTTTTGTTATATACGGATTCGCTTTGTTTGCTTTAAGATTATTTTATAAAAAAGTTTAGGTCTTTTATTTATCGATTGAGGCAGTACGAAGTCTGCCGGGTCAGCTAATTGGACTGATATTTTAAAGAGAAAAAATGTCACAGCTGGAAAGCTGGAAAACTTTAACATATCTGGAAAAATCCACCATAACAAAATTGAATTTCTCATCCACTTAGCTAATATTGAAGTTTAAATATTAAACGAGATTTTTTCCGCGGTAAATTCGCGCATACACTTTGAGGGTACTCTGGTGAAGTAAGTAATTATCTAGTTGAATAGTTTGAATATTCATAAGCACAGATGAGCTTTGGAGATGCGAATATGGAAATGAAATTACTCCTAGTTATATTATCAAATTTCGGAGCTATATAAAGTTTGGTTCATTATGAAACTACCTAATTTAAAAGACAACGTTTTCAGCTTCAGATGGTGGAAGAGAATATTGTTTGTATTTAAGCGGCTGCAAGTTTACTTCGAACTTAAATGAAACTTCTCATACCTGCGTCTTACAATAGCTCCGCATGAATGCCAGTTCTGGGAAACTATTAAATAGGATATTATTAATAGGCGTCTCAAATACTCCTACATATTAGATTCGAAGCAAACCGATAGAAATTTAGTTGGATAATTTGATTAATACATTAATATTTACTACCTAACTTATGTCAGGCCGTTTAATGATATTTCGATACATTCGAAACTTGTTTCTCCCTTTGTTTAGTAAGAAGGTGGCAAACTTCAACTTGTTGACAGACAATTCTAAAAAATAAAAATAACCAGACACCAGAAAAAGTGAAGAAGAGTTAATTGCAATGAAAATATTGTAACACTATTTTATGTAGATATAAAAAATGATACACGGATACACTATCTGATTAATCCTATGATGGTTTGCTAAAGTTAAAATAACTGTCCAGGTTTGCTGCACATACTATTCAGCTGCCAATGGAACTGGATGGGGTTAAGGTCTTAATTAAACATTGCACATGGCTAATCTGAGTTGCTTTATACAATATAACCGTGTGCAAAGTGTTATGCATTCCTTAACAGGCTGTATTAAAAGGGGTAGCAGCTTATTTACCTAACTAATCTATTGCGCGCCTAGACGATGGTTTCAAAAATTGGGTCCAGACTTTTTTCTTTTAAGAATAAATGTATGATACCGTCATGTTTACGCTTCAACGAAAATTTGCATATAATCTTGAAAAAGTGCCCCGCACGATGAATGAACGATCCATACAGCAATATAATTTAAAGGTGTCAGAAACTGAAGCGTTTTATCAATGTGGCTAGTTATTCCAGCTTCGACATTCCAGCTTTATCAATCAATTCATTTTTCATAATTTAAATTGGTGAAAATTGTTTTGCTAGATATATATAATAAATAGCATTTTTTGGTCAACAAAGGGTTTGTTACATGTGTGTTTTATTGAACATAGATTTTATTACAACCGTTATGCCCATTGACCTTCCCGAACATTGAGCTGCCTGGCACATTTCCTTGTTTTAGTGGACACTTTTTCGAAAAGCAGTCAATTTCTTTGTATCATGGTCTTGCCGTATCAGGTATTGCTGGAAACTGTATATATAAATCAATATAAAGACAAAATGTCTGTAATTAATCTTTAATATGCCAAATGTATTTAAAATAATGAGTAATGCACATATATGGACCTCATAGCTGAACCAAGAAATAGTAAGAGCTCAAAAAAAAGTTTAATTTCGGAGATTCTGGTCTTTATTTAGGTTCTTGGTGACAACATATTTAACCAACGGGATTTGTCATCCAATCCCGTTGGTGTTTGAAGACAAGTTCAACAGTATTTCATAGTGCAGCAAGTTTCGCGTCTTGGAGCGCTTTTCTTTATTTTTTGACACAAATATTATTATTACATTATTTTAATATTTAATTTAACTTCATTGTAAAAAAGTTCGATCTAAATTATACGATATTGGTAAAATAACTCTATAGTACTACTTTGTTACGTCATTTTAAGCACATTCAAGCAAAGCCATAGTCGCACATCGAATAATTCTGCCTTTATTATACCTCGATCGGTCACAAAATATTTTTGTTACAATGACAAAAGACCCAGCATTTTGAGTAGGTGCAATTGTGATGCTTGATTGTGTTGTTGCTAATGGAATTCAGCATTATTTTGATTGTCTTCTTTTCAAAATTTTTCCTGATAAAAGCAAGTCTCATAAAATCACTGATCCGAATGCCACTTCGGATGCGAGGTTCTAAAATGGGAAAAAAAGATTTTCTTTAGGCTGGAAAATGGGGCGTTCTGATTATATCACAGATTCCCCCTATCGGTTTGAATCTTACCTAATATTTTAACTGGAAAAAGAGGAGATATGCCTGCGTTAATTTTTTGGCAGTTTAAACTGAATGTCTGTCTTAATTTCCTAAAAATTTAATGCAATATTGCCTCTATTAAACAGTAACCTGTGTCGATGTCTCTATTTCTATATTTTTTATCAGCCTTGACTATATGTATGGAATTTGTGCAGGTGAAGGTATTTGTTGTACTTTTTATTGTTTGATCCCAAAACCCCCTTTGCATCAATGTGGTAAAAATGAAGCGACTGCGCTATCAATTTCAAAAAATGAATTGTAGTTTTCACTATACTTTCAAGCTATGTTGGACAAACTGAATTTACGGCCCCTCCAATCTTTGAAAACTCCATTATTTTTAGCATTTGTTTTTTAGAAAATTTTATTACTAAGTTTTTAATTTTATTTTAAGAGATAGTTTCGGTTGACTTAAGGACACTTTTCCCTAGTAGATAAGAAACCCGAGGGTTCTAATGTGGACAGTTTAAAATGTGGAGATGTAATAAATTTCATACTTGGGCTTTTGATTTAGCAGAATACAATTTTGTTTGTGGCTTAGAAAATAGCTCCATATGAATTGACCTTTACATGGTCTTACTTTTTTATACCTCAAATTCTTACTAATTATTTATTGCTTGCAGAATATAATTTATATTCGTATTCGCTGCGTTGTTTTTGCTCACCATTAAATGGAATATTATTGTCACTAACCCAACTTAGGATAAGTTTGTAATGTATTATGTGTGGCCACTGATCAGTTTTTACAATGTTGGCACACTTTTTTTTTTCAAAGAATCTTCCACAGACTACTGTAATACTATTTAGAAAATTTCTGAATTCTTCTTAGGTCGGTTGTTGTTGAATCGAACTTGCTAACGTTTCGCCAATCATCCTGTTTCCGTTTTAGTTAAGCTCTGAAGAGGCCACAGGCGACAACAACCGACGCAGCAGCAATCCAGAAGTTTTGTAAATTGTATGTCGGCACACATCTTCATATTTTTAATCTAGGCTATTGTCTTCGCCAGTTCTTCCTCCCTCTCTTGTTGCTTTGCTGCTCGCATTGTCGTATTTCATGTACGTGTGTGATATTTGGCCCCTTCTGACTTTCCGCCTGCTTTCTGGAATAGCCGGTTGGTGTTCTTAATGTCTTCACCTTTTAGTTTTTTGGTTGATGCGAAGGACCCATTTGAATCTCTTTTGTCGGATGTTCTAGGTTAGTTGGGCTAGTTTAGGTTAGTTGTTAATTGTATACATTTTCACCGAAAGATATGTTGTCAGTTGTATGATTCTGCACCACTTTATGAAATTTTAAATCAAGATGTGAGGTCAATCAGAATTTTCGACTGGACTTGACCTGACAGAATAATTTTCCTGAATCAACAAGCCCCGTAATACAGAAGTATTGTTGATTTCCTTCTTTCCTTTCTAAGGTATTGATGGTGTGGCATTTCCAAGCGAAGTCTGTAATTCTTGCAGAAAGCCATCTCTCTTCTTTACAGTTGGGGAAAGCATTAACTGAACTTCAGAAGTTGATTTCACTCCTTGCAGCAGGGTGCAATTAACTGGGTTCTGCCAATTTTCCTAAAGGTTATTTTTGGTGTCCTTGCAATAGATACACAAGGTCCTCGCATAAATCTGAGTCAGCCTTTTCCTTCTATTGGCTGTACTCCAAAAATTTCTTTGATGATTCTAGCTCGAGACACACAAGGGTAGTAGAATATCCGCGGTGTTAGCAGGTGATGTCGACTTTCTTTGAATTTGCGTAACATGACAACATTGTACAACTACTGAGTGACGAATTCGGATGTGATCAATAGAAGTACATTTATGAAAAGGAAATTCACAAAAACTCAAAACTCAGCAATATTAACATAACGATTTGTAATGAATCGTTATGATATAGATGAGTTTTTATATCCCGAAACACCTCTTTGAATTTGAACCATGATTTGTTGACTCGTAGTATAAAGGACAGGGTGCGGCAAAAAGGTAGGCAGGATTTCAAATGGTGGTTGTTCGGTTTGTAAAACCGGCAACACTGTATACGCACTCACGTTAGGCAGACAAAAGTATGCAATTTTCAGTTATCGACATGGCTTGGAGCGGAGTGCATCGTGCTTTCGTTGTCGAGGAGTTTATTAGAAATGGGGAATCTGTAATAGCGACGCTGCGCGCCTTTCGTAATCAGTTTGATGTTATTCGGCATGGCGCGGTTCCGGATAGAAGAACAATTCGTCGGTGGGTTTTACACTTCAGGGAAACAGGTTCTGCGCTTAATCGAAAATCTACTGGCCGACCAAGGACAGTAGAACACCGGAAAATGTGAATGCAGTAAGAGTTTCTGTACAACAGTCTCCAAGGCGTTCAGCTCGTAAGCATGCAGCTACTTTGGGAATTCCCGATAGAAGTGTTCGAAGAGTTTTACACAACTCATTTCAAATGCATCTGTGCAAAATGATGGTAGTGCAGGAATTAAGCGCAAGAGATTTTGAAACTGGTACAAATTTATGCCGGGATATTCATCAAAGCGCTGTATTCATGTCTCACTTTCACCTCTCGGGTACCGTAAATAAGCAAAATTTCCGTTATTGGTCGGCAAATAGTCCACAGGAACTTCATGAGCGACCTCTTCACAGCCCAAAAGTCACCATCTGGTGTGCAATCTCGGAGTTCGGCGTGTGGGGTCCTTACTTTTTCGAAGAAGATGGGATAACGGTAAGAGTCAACGGGGATCGATATTTTGATATGCGTAACAATTTCCAGCGTCCAAAAGCGAACGAGTTGAACAACGATCAAAGAGAACATCTTTGATTCCAGCAGGATGGTGCTACATCGCACACAACGCGTCGTTCACTAAATCTTCTTCAAGAAATGTTCCTAAACAAAGTGGTGCCTTTACGGGGTGATCTTGGCTGGCCGCCACGTTCGCCTGATTTGTCGCCTTGCGACTTTTTTCTTTGGGGTTATCTGAAAGCGACAGTTTTCACAAATCGTCCGCGGACTTTGGAAGAATTAAAGGCAGCCATAAGACAAGAAATTGCCTCATTTCTCCGAGAAATGATCCATCGGACAATGATACGCTTCCGCGAGAAACTACAAGAGTGCATCAACAATAATGGCCGTCGTTTAAAAGACATCAGTTATAAAAAATAACGTTCCTAAATGGCACAAAATGTACATTTCAAAAATAATAAAAAAAAAATTTTATGCAGTTTGGTTTTTATTAACATCATTTTGCCGCACCCTGTACAATTCCTGTTAAACTTATACAACATTAATAAAGGATCCGCTACCAGGTCGTTTCCGGAAGAAATAGAATGAAATTAAAATACTAAATTTTTCGATTTTATTTCAATCCGGTTGCTCGTTGAATTTTTTAAACAATCGATAGTGCTCATTAAAAAACAGTTGCAACAACCAAATGAATTCGGGAAAATAAATAAAAATGATCGGAACTCGGAAAAATTTCCATTCCATTTCCTCTTCGAAACAATAAATTGAAAATAATTTTAACGCTCCCTTGTTTTCAATTTTCTGAAAAATGGACACATTCCAATACCAAATTTTATGCTAGGGTAGGTGTATGTTTCGACAGGTTAATTGATGAATGACTGGTCATACGAGGCGTTCCCCAATGACCCTGATTTGAAATGATCGAGATGGCAAAGGTAATCCGTTTCGAATGTCTAATCAGCTTGACCAACATAAAAACTGGAAGGACAATGGAACGGCAAGTTAAATAACGGCGCGTTTAACGGTCAATGAACAGAGATGTCCTGAGTGCAGAAGCTTGTAAGGAGCGACAAACTAAAAGCTCTCCCTGTACGTGCCAATACGCGTATTTTGGTTGAGAATTTTATTGAACAAACGACGTCCTTTTACCACTTCAGGACGTATTACAAGTGGAGTGCTGCGAGAAAGCAGTATGTATGTATTTACAATTCGAAGCAAATAATGCATTGTATTGTGTATGTGTTAATTAATCTGCTTAATAGACGAAGAAAAGAACAAAAATCATTGAATATTAAAACGTACAACTAACTCACCGGCAGGCACAATGTGAAATATGCAAGGCTTTTCTTGCTTTCCCATGTCGTTCGTTGCCCAGCAAGCGAGTGATTCGACGTCACCTTCCCGGAGATCGAAATGCAATACCGAAGCGTTGCCTTTACTTTGTATTTTCGCCCCTTGCACAGGCAGCACTCCTTTGCTAGTGTTGTAAGTCCACGAAAACCGATTCACTGGGGGAACGGAATCTACCAGACACTGCGCTACGATGGTCTCGTGAGGGATGATCCCAATACGTATTTCTTCGAAACCCTTTTTGCAGCGAGGAGCAACTGAAATTGATGTTTAAGGCTAAATAAAGTATTGTTCGCATATTAAAGTAATTAGTGCAATTGGGTTTACATTTTTCTATTTGGTGATTGTTTTTTTTTTTAGAAAAATATAAATATTTGCATTTTTATATAATACAGTAGTAATAGGAAAAAAATTGTAAAGCAAATAGTACCTGCGTTTCTAAAAGTTGCAATTATTAAGAATGATGTTTGTGAATAATTTTTTACTCTGGGCGTTTGTAATTATCAATTCATTGCATTACCAAATAAGCTCACGCTATTCTAACAATTAAAAAAATAAGCTGGTACAGCTATAGGTACAGTGTAAATACCAGGATTATTATCTGTTCTTTCCGAGCGATTTCCATATGTTAGAGCAGGGAGTAGAAAAATACTTTATAAATTTTTCATCCAATCCATGCATGTGTATTAGTGTGAGCTGAATAGCATAAGTAACCTTTTTAGGTTAAAATAAAAATGATGAGGGACTTTCATAGCAGAGAACACATGCCGGGAATTTGATGAAATAATTGTAAAACATAGTTTAAAGTCTTTTATATTCGCAAACAACTTCCGAGCCTAGAAAAAAGTACGTGTTTCCCATTTTCTATGAGATACTAGCATTCGTGAATATATACACAGCTACAACGCCGTAGTCGGGATATGAAGTTATAAATAACCCAACTACTTCATTGTTGTGGGCGTTGTGCTAAACCGCCAGAATAATGTACCAAATAATTCAAATAAGCTTCAGCGATATAAGAAATACCACATTTGTTTATTCGAATTACTAATAAAGTTCTTGCATTTCTTGACTATATAGAATTATAAAAATGCGTCGCAGATGTGCGCAACTTCAACTGCAAATATAACATATCTAAATAGAACGTTCATTTATCATTAATGGTGCCAAATGATATTTAAAATCAAAATAAAATTGTTTTATATCCTTCACTTTTTTTATAAGACCTTTGGTTGGCACAAAATTACCCAGCAGCTAACATTACTATGTTTTGATATCCTTGCTCGTTTTTAATAAAATTATTGTCACTATTTTTTTCATTAATAATTAGGTTTAGTCAACTAACGAAAACTAATAGATTGACGAACACAAACCAATTTCATTAATTATTGAATTTTTTAAGCAGTAAAATATCTATTCAAATAATCATTTTTTAGTTTGAATAACACATTTTTAATGCCAATAAATATTTAACAAACTTAAAGTGATTTAAACGGTAGGCAATCAATACACTCCGATAAGCATCAAATAACGATACAAAAGATGCGTAGCGTTTGGTGAGCAGCAGTAAAATATCTATTCAAATAATCATTATGGAGTTTGAATAACACATTTTTAATGCCAATAAACATTTAACAAACTTAAAGTGATTAAAACGGTAGGCAATCAAGACACTCCGACAAGCATCAAATAACGAAACAACAGATGCGTAGCGTTTGGTGAGCAGCAGTAAAATATCTATTCAAATAATCATTCTGGAGTTCGAATAACACATTTTTTATGCCAATAAATATTTAACAAACTTAAAGTGATTAAAACGGTAGGCAATCAAGACACTCCGATAAGAATCAAATAACGAAACAAAAGATGCGTAGCGTTTGGTGAGGTAAAATCTAAATTTCTTTTCATAGCAATATCGATAATTTGGAATAATTTTATCTCAAAAGAGATTTTTTATTCATTTTTTAAATGGTTTAAGTAGTTAATACAATTACATAGCTGCAAACAATTGAGTAGACACTAAATATTGGAAAACGGCTAAGCATATCAAAACGTAGTAAGATTAGTTATGGGGTGATTTGGTGCCATAATACTAAAGAAAAATAACAAAAAAATGTATTTTAAATATTAATAATAAATAAATTAATAATTAAATTACAGTAGCTTTAGGAGATTTTAATGCAAAGATTGGATGCAAAGGTTGGAACCGATGACAGCGAAAATATGGTGTGAGAGAAAGAAACAGAAGACGTGATCGAGTGGTACAGTTTTGAACAAAAAACGACTATGTATTGCTATACCATTTTTCAAGTTCCACATGCGATATTTATACACCTGGCGTTCACCTGTGGATCGCAATGGACATATTGTAAGAAATCAAATAGATTTCATTCTCACTTAACACCGACCCACGACAAAAACTCATTGACATAAGGAAAATACAGAGACCTGTAGAAAGAAGAAAAACTTGAGAACAGGTTGAAAGAACTAGAGACCTCTAAAACGCTCAGCCAGATCTAGGAGACATTTAGATTTGCAAATAACACAAACCAATAGGAGTGGATGACTAATGAAATTATAACACCGATGAATGAACGAAGAGAACAGAAACAGAAATATGGCGAAATGCAGGCAAGCCAAAGACAAATGCACAAAATAGAAACTCTTTAGAAGAAACAGGATGTCTTTAACTTACACAAGAATATCAATTTGCTTGCAGATGAACACAAGGGGGGTCACAGTATGAAGAAGTTCCAACGACGAAATACTTATAGGAGTCGATGAGAAATTATAACGGTGAACAGAAAATGCTTTTAATAACAATAAAATAAGTCCTGAAATTAGGAAAGAAGAGGTTAAACATGCAATTTAATTTCAGAGAACGGAAGAACTGTTGATCCTGACAACGTGCGCTCGGAAACCTTTAAACTCGCAGAAGACAGGGTTGGTTTAAATCTTATTACCACAATATTCAACCGGAATCGGAAAAAGAAGGTCAATGCAACGTCTTCATTCACACTCGTATATGCATAAAGTGTGAGCGCCTGGTTGGCAATTTGGCTTTAGAAAAGGGATTTGAATTAGAGAAACTGCTTTCTCTCTGAATAAACTGACTCAGAGATGTAGCATGTTTTTAGCTGTGTGTAACATCAAAAAATGATCAGTATCCTAAAATCAACCGCTATCGACGCACAATTCCTGAAGATCGTAACCAGAGTGTACTGGCACCAAACAGCGACAGTAAAAATCGAAGGGTCTACAACAGAAGAAATAGCACAAGAAGAGGAGAGAAGAGCAATATTCAGCAAAACTCTCGAGAACACAACTGCAGGCATAAACTTCATGGAAACATTATAAATATTCTTCGTTACGCAGATGATACCCGTGATAATAGATAGTAGTCTACCAGAACTTCAATCTCTTATGGACCTTATTGCGGAATGTATACGTCCAAGACCAAACTATTGTTATTCTGAAACACCCAAAGAAACCCCACCCTTATGATGGTCAACCTGCAACGAAACCCAAAACTCGAAATCAGATCAAGAATTGAACAAGCGCGGAAACTCTGAACGAATTGAGGATACTTCTGGCAAACCAAAACCTCAGCCTAGAACTTCGCTGTTATATTTTTCCTGTTCTTCTGTACGGATGCGCGAGTTGGATCATGGATGAGGCCACAGAAAAGAGAATTAATGCGTTCGAAATGTACACCTACATACGAATGCTGCGAATATCATACACATAGAGGTCATTGCGCAAATACTATAAACATAAAGAACTCCTCACGACAATCAAGGAGAGAAAGTTGCAGTACTGCGGACATATCATCAAACTCCTTTTTGAGTGTTAAGTACTTTTATTAATATTTTAGTTTTAGGATAAAGACTTTGAGATGTGATTTGCACTGGCTCGTGAGGCTCTTATTTGACTACAAAAAAATATATCCACGCACTTACTACTTTTTCAGAAAATTATTTTTTGTGATTATGTCAGAATGCGCCACCTGTTGGCAACGGGAGTAATCGCATTCGCGGCTCGGAAAACCAATTTAAAAAAAATCCCCCACCCACTTTCCATGCAGACAGAGCAAATAGCATTATCAGATTGGAATTTTTCTCAGTTTTAAAATAGTACTCATTGAAACCGGATTCCAAAATTCAAGATAACAATTACGCCTCGTGGTGAACCTGTTCAGAAATTATTTCCAGCATTTTTTCTTCGATTTAAGCAATATTTTTTTTCAAATTTCGGGGACCGTGCGTTTTCCTTAATACCGGAGTTCGATGCCCTTTCTGCGACACGCGGTACATCAGCAGATCAGACATTTGTTAAGCAAATCATGACATATTTATTTGGGCGACATGTAATAAATTAATCAAGCTGGGTCGAGTTGACAATATTACATACAAAATATTCCAAAACGGAGGTGTAAAAGTTCGTAAAGAGAGAAAAAATTTGGCTATTTTACTACGGCGATTTTTGCACGTCACATTTGATCGCACGTGATTGCTAAATTAAAAGGTGATTGCTCAAATCACGTTTTAATTTAGCTCGATCACCGTTGAATTTGCTGTCGACCGTTACATAACATGCAATACTCGAATCAGCTGACAGAAAGGGCTCTTTGATAAACAAAAATTTTCCATTGGAAAAATTATTATTGCGAGTTAGGTAGCAGGAAAATTGAACTGTGTATTTGCATATGCCAATAAACACTAGCCTTTGAAACGCATTTTACGTACGTACGGCGGAGATAAATTCTGGAGGTTGAAACTGATGCCGGTTCCAGTAAACTTAATTCACACGCATATTCAATTATGGAGTCGAAAAACGAAAAACTGGAATACATGGAGATTATTTTTTAAACTTAGTTTTCGTCTTTTATCCTATTCCACCTAAGCAACATTTATTACGAGTTAAAATAGTTTTCGTAACAGTCAGTTAGCGAATCTTAACAAAATTGTTGTAGTCGTTTCGGCTACGCAGATAAAAACGTTTTCTAGGGAAGGTAATTTTACAATTTTCGAGTTCCAAATAAACACCTGCATGAGATATGGCATTTTTTTTATCTTCTTTGAAACAGTCAGGTGTAGTTCCATTACTCCAAAAAGCTGATATAGACACAACTTAAGATTTTCTTGTTTGTTCAAGTAATATCAACGGTAATTGAATGCCTGCTCAAGGAGCAGCTTTACTTATAATTTCATACCCTATTCAGAACAGATTGTTTTAGAACTAAATGCCAAATTGATTC